GTGACATTTACTTCGTGCTATTAATGCATTGTTATCATTTGGCTCAAGATCCAATGCCTAGTGAAAACAATAGTATATATTAATTATAATTATACTATACATAATTAAAATATTTAATATATAATTAATATATAATTAAAATATAGTATATATAATTAAAATATATTAAAATATTAATTTTAATTGTTTTATATAGAAATAATTTTGTAAATGATTTGTTTTAATATTTTATGTATAGTTACAGAAAATTTAATAAATTAATATACATATACACATATATGTATATTAATCAATGTATATATATATACATTAAATTAATAATTATATATATATAATATATATATATAATTATTAATTTAATAAATAAATATATTCATTAATAATAAAATTTAAAATTTATATAAAATTATGCGTACAAATGTAAATATAAATGGCTAATATAAATATATCTGTTTAAAAAAAGTAGAATTTTATATTTTGCTAAATATTTTGCTAAATATATTTCTTTAAAAAAAGTAGAATTTTATATTTTGCTAAATATTTGCTTATATTTATTCTTTTATGTAATAAAATAAATTAATAAAAGAATATCAATTGAAATTTCTCAAATACAATTAATTTTTTATTAAATTGTCTTAATTAACTTCCTATCCTAAAATAGGATTTTTATTTGATAATGATCTTTTTTTATTCTATTAAAATAAACTATATTATTAAATTAAATAAACTATTTTAATAAAAAAAAATTGTTATAATAAATAATATTTTAATAAATAATAATAATAATAAATAATAAATAATAAATAATTGAATATTTAAAAATAAACTTTAAATACAATTACATATTGATAAACAATTGTATCGAAATTGTATCGAAAAAATAAAAATAATATATTTTATTAAAAAGAAAAGAGAATCAACAAGAACCTTATTAATACAATTCATTGCTATTTTAACATCACCAATTCGCATCTCACGCAATCCTAAAGCTAATATAGCTGTCGGTTCAGTATCTTCTGGTAATTGTAAATTGCGATCTTGTTTTTGCTTTATTTTCAATGATTGTTTAATATCTTTAGTTCCCATATTTACTGCGGCGGCACGATCTTTGTCAGTATATATTTCTTCTTGACGCCGAGTACCATTATTCTGTCGATATCATTTCTTTCTTTTTTGAATATTCATTTCTGATTCGATTGATAATTTATTAGAGTTATTTCCTTTTTGTTGTTTCTTATCCTTTTTCTTCTTTTTCTTGTCATTATTAATATAGTTCTGTTTATCATCGGTAGACTCAATATTGGGATAAAGTTCTAAAGAAGATGAAATTTTACTGAAATTTGAATCCGTTTCCTCAAACTGTTTTGAATTTGAAATGTTTTCCGCGAGCGCTCGCACGTAACTTTGTAATAAATCATGATGGTGCATAATTGGATTTAAGAAACCCATAATTTTCGCATCGATGGCGTTGTGAGTGTTCGTAAATTTTGATACAATTATATCACTCATCATTTGGTTTTATATTTTTATAATTAATCTTAAATTTTTCTTTTATTTTTTATTCTTCTTTTTTTACTTATGGTATAATGAAGTTAATTTTTTTTTTAAATCTTATTTTAAGTAAATATATAAAATAAAATATAAAAAAAAAAAATATTGCTGAATGAAAAAATAAAAAGAAAAATTTATACTTTTAATATACTTTTGTATACATTTTTTTAGTTTATTTATCTTCTTTTTTCAAAAAATATTTTATTGTTAAAAAGTATTTAACTATTATTTATATTAGAATTATTATTTAGAAAATATTTAAAAATCACTAGAGTTGTTTGGTCTTTTTTTATAAATTGTAATTGATAAAACGAATATACTTGATGTATTCACGATAAAGAAATAAGATACTAGTTTCGTGTATTGCGTGTGGAAGAGACGTGTGGTTATCGACACCTTTGTAAAGACGTCTTGTTTCCTTAGAAACAATCAACAATACGGGCAATTCATACGAAAATTTCTGATCATATATATATAAAAGAATTTCAAGGAATCTTAGTATTTGTTAGAAACCATTTAGTTTAGCTGTCAACATTCGAAAATTTCTTCGATAGAAATTGATTCTTAATTTATGGTATGAAGTTTTAAAGATATTTAAAAAATTTTATTTATTTTTCGTTTTCTTATAGAATACATATAAAAAAATATTCATTTGTTTTAATTACATTAAAATATATTTTATTTATTGTTATTTATTTATATAAGAAATATTATATTATATTATACTATAAAAGATATATATAATAAATAAGATAAATATAAAAAAATTAACCAAAAAATAAAAAAATAAATTTAATCATAATACATTACTGTTTTATTTTATCATGCTTAAATATCTTATTATAGAATAAATTATTAAATATTTTTTAATGATTGTTCCGTAATGTTTTATTAATAAAAAAACGAGCTGCTTATTTTGATGTATTTATTATTAGTAAAATCTAAAAAATAAACTATTATGAATGTTTTGCTGATATTTGTAATATGATTACGTTATTTAACATTATAAAAATAAGAATTTAAGAAAATCAATAATAAATTAATATTCATTTCATCATTGTTATAATATTTTTT